ATATATATATATATGTAAATATACATAAGATAAAATTTCCCATTTTAGTAATTTTTCAATGTACAATTCAGTGGTCCTGAGTATATTCACAGTGTTATACAAACATCACCACTATCTATTTCTAGAACTTTTCCATCACCCCAAATAGAAACTCTATGTCCATTAAATAATGACTTCCAATTCCTCCTTCCCATATCCCCTAGTAAACCATTCGTCCTTCTGTCTCATGAATTTGACTACTCTAGATACCTCATATAAGTGGAATCATGTAATATTTATACTTTCATTTCTGGCTTATTTTATTAGCCTAATGTTTTCAAGGTTCATCCATAATGTAGCATGTATCAGAATTCCATTCCTTTTTCAGGCTAATACTCCATTGCATGTATTAACCACATTTTATTGATACATTTATCTGTCGATGGACATTTGGAGTGTTTCCACCTTTTGGCTATTGTGAATAATGCTACTATAAATGTTAGTGTGCAAATATCTGTTCAAGTACCAGCTTTCAATTTTTCTGGGAATATACCTAGAAGTAGAATTGCTGGATCACATGGTAATCCTGTGTTGAACTTTCTGAGAAACAGCCATACTGTTTTCTGCAGCAGCATATTGTATTCTCACTAGCAAGGTACAAATATCCAGATTTCTCCACATTCTTGACAACACTTGTTATTTTCCGCTCTTCTGATAATATTTATCCTAATGAATATGAAGTGGTATTGCATTGTAGTTTTAATTTGCACTTCCCAAATGATGAGTGATGCTAAGCACCTTTTCATGTGCTTATTGGCCATTTGTACCTCTCCTTTGGAGAAATGTCTGTTCAAATTATTTGCCCATTCTTAAATTGGGTTATTTGGGTTTTTTGTTGTTGAGTTGTAGACGTTCTTTACATATTCTTTATTTATATATATATCAAATGTATTATTTGTAATATATTTGTCTCATTCTGTTGGTTGCCTTTTCACTCTATTGATGTACAGAAGTTTAGCAGGAGAGGTTTTAAGAGCTAGAGTAGGGGATAGTAAGTCATCTATGTTACCTGGCCTTACCTAAAGAAAACGCAAACTTTCCTATATCTTCCTGATAGGAGGTACTGTTATAACTTGGAGCTAAACCCCCTCTGAAGTTGGTTACTGCCCTCCCACAGAAACTGGAGACAGGGGCTCTATCTTCCTTGATTATTACATTTCAAGGAGATGGCCCTCAAGTCCTTAAGAAAGACATTCCGGGGTTGTAGAATTGTTAACAGGCATTTAAAAAAAAAAAAAATCATATCTCAAAGGAGCAAAAAAAGAGCCTAAAAGTTTTTTATAGTAAATGATCTAAGAAAAGGGAGGTCAGTGGTCTAGAGTTGGGAAGAAATCCTATCTAAAGTTAGGATAACTAAGAGAAATACTAATGAGACTTTATTTTGGCCACCTTGGTTAAAATAAAACATTTGGAGGCCGGGCAAGGTGGCTTATGCCTGTAATCCCAGCACTTTGGTAGGCCGAGGTGGGCGGATCACCTAAGGTCAGGAGTTCAAGACCAGCCTGACCAACATGATGAAACCCCATCTCCACTAAAAGTACAAAAATTAGCCAGGCATGGTGGCGCCCACTACTAGTAATCCCAGCTACTCAGGAGGCTGAGACAAGAGAATTGCTTGAACCCAGGAGTTGGAAGTGAGCCAAAATCACGCCATTGCACTCCAGCCTGGGTGACAGAGCGAGACTCTGTCTCAAAAAATTATACACATACATACATACATACATACAAAAGAATGAGCTGGGTGTGGTGGCGGGAGCCCGTAATCCCAGCTACTAGGTAGGCTGAGGCAGGAGAATTACTTGAACCCAGGAGGCGGAGGTTGCAGTGAAACAAGAATGTGCCATCACACTTCTGCATGGGCGACAAGAGCAAAACTCCATCTCAAAGGGAAAAAAAAAGCATTTGGGGACATTACAGATGAGAAAAACTAATTCCAACTGGAAGAAATCCCAGAAAGTATCTCAGAGGTATTAACATTTATGTAGTCAAGCAGGCTGGTATAAGATTCAAAAGGCAAATTTATTAAAAAAGAAAATGCCAGGTAAAGGAAAATTATCAGTTAAAAAGAAATAGAGAAATAAAAGTTTATAACAAGATAGACAATGCAGCCAGCAAGACAGCAGGATGTAAAGGAGTTATT